CCCCGCATGTGTGATTTTACTCTTTGTGCATATGAAGCTGTTTTGTTTTCCACTGATGTACTGGCTACAGGTGCAGCAGAAGGGAAAGCTTTGAAGGAAGTGACCTTATTTACATTTGGATGTTATGCTGACCCCACTCTAGACCCTGCACTAAGTACTTTCTTTATATTACTTCTTTGGGTCCTCATAACTCTAAAAGGTACACACAGATGAGCACACAGAGGCACTGAGAGGATGAGGAGCTTGCTACATGAATCCAGCCCTGTCTGATTCCAGAGCTCTTGTTCTCACTCATTAAATCTGATGCCTCTCGAAAGAGCAGAGAGGGAAAATGTCTGGTTGTACAGGAAGGATGCGACTGACCTTTCCTTAGTTTGCAGAGGAACAGCCCAGGAGGTGGAGTGATCTTTGCACCTAGAAGCATGTGTGAGAAGTCCTCTATGTACATAATTAGAATAAAAATCTTTATATTATTGGTATCAAAAAATAAGGCTTTTTTTTTTTTTTTTTTTGAGATGGAGTTTCGCTCTTTTTGCCCAGGATAGAGTGCAATGGTGCGATCTCAGCTCACTACAACCTCTGCCTCCCGGGTTCAAGCGATTCTGCTGCCTCAGGGTCCTGAGTAGCTGGGATTACAGGCATGTGCTACCACACCCGGCTAATTTTGTCTTTTTAATAGAGACGGGGTTTCTCCATGTTGGTCAGGCTGGTTGTGAACTCCCCAAAAATAAGGTTTTCTTAACAAGGCTTCTCGGCTGATGGATGTAGAGATAACGTGAACATCTATCTCTACACTATCATCTGCCTTCAGCACAGTCAGTCAGCTTCAGCTCCCACTTCTTAATGCGGCAAATGTCTATGTGGCTGAACTGGACAGTGAGCACTGGGGTTCATTAAGTGCGAGTCAATAGGAATTTTCTGGAAAGCATCAGACTATTTTGAATCTTGCAGACGCCAGCCTCACATAAGCCAATGTTAGTCCATCCTGCTTTATCCATCTGCCCCTCATCCTCAGGGATGAGATCTGCATGTACAGAAAGGGAAAGGTGCTAGAGAGAACAGGTGTGGAAGAAAGCACTTGCATTCAGAAATGGAGTTCGTTCTTCCCCTCCGTCTCTCGTTCCCTCGGAATACCTGCTGGGTATTGCGGGTCTGGAGGCAGTGGAAGAGAGTGAATAGAAAGGGACCAGCTTGGTTGGCCTGGGAAGCTTCTCAGATCAACTCACAGAAAGTGCAGTGAACAACAAGACCAGGGTTAAATGTGATAGTGTCTCTGAAGCACCCTGGAGCCTGGTTTCAGAATTGAGACTTTTTTTTTAATCACATATGCTTTTCCATGAGTCAGAAACCTCATTCTATTATAATAGACATCTTCCTCTTGACGTGTCTACATGGGCCTCTCTTTTTCTGCAGCTCCCCAGTCTGGATCACCATCCACCTCATTGCTCATGCTAAAGACTTAGGAAACATCCTGTTCCTCTCCTTCACTCACTCCCCACAGCCAATCCATCAGCAGGTCCTGCCCGCCAGTCTCGTCCAGACACTCACACCAACCCCCTACTGTGTGTTCAATTTCTGTCCACATCACCCCCAATCCCTACGACACACAGGTGGGTCCTGGGCACAAACATGGACAAGCAGGGGTTGGTGTGGGCTCTGAATACTCACAGCACCTTGAGGTCATAGACTCCTCACCTCAGCAGAGGCTTGGTTGGGGAAGGCCGGCCGGGACCTCCCAAAGCTGGGGTCCCTGTTGTCAGGGCAAGGAAAGGGAAGCCCTTGATTCTATCTCCAACTCTCCTCCTAAATGAGGGTACCCACTTCTCCCTTTTCCACTGCCAGCATTCTAGGCCAACAGCTGGTCCATGCTCTCACTGACCCCTCCCTGCTCTCTATCATCTCAACACCTTGCTTAAAACCTCCCCCTCACACTTAGAATAAAATCTCAACTCCCTGACCTTCTAGGCTCCCTCTGGGGTGACCGGGTACAGTGGGGAGGGCCACACACTTTCGGTGACTATCCTTGGAGTTAATGGCATGGGGTTTGGCACCAGACAACCTGGGCTCGGATTCCACTGAGATACTTTTTACTGGTGTAAACCTGAGCAAGTTACTTAAACCTCCTAAGCCTTAATTTCCTCGTCTATCAACTGGCGATGATATTTTAAGTAGCTGCTTCATAGAGCTGTTGTCAGGATTCATTGGGACGTTTGTGAAAAGTGCTCAGTACATTCACATTCAGTACAAGCTGATAAAAAGAACTGTAACAATAGAAACATTCACTTAAACACCCAGGGTCTCATCTTCAAATATTAGCTTTTCATGTCTTTACTAGACTGATAAGCCACGCTGTCTATAAACTAAATAATCGAAGACAAACTAACCATTAAATTAATGAAATAATAAAACTATAAAATTAATAACTAGAAAATATCCAGAATACCATTATAAGATTGTCTAATTTTTTTTTAATCATTTGAAGGGCTACCCCTTTTTCAGAGTAAGGCTCACCCCTACAATATCCCTGACCTGCAATTGTCCAGCCCCTCCAGAGCTGGAGCATCCTTATTGAGTAGGGGAGCCATTATATTTTCAGCGAATACCAATTTTTATGAGGAACATTCTGTAAAACCAAAATTGATCTTCCCTTAGTGAACACCCATTAGTCTTGTTTCACCCAGTGGTGAAACCTTGAGGCCACAGACTCCTCACCTCAGCAGAGGCTCGGTTGAGGGAGGCCAGCCGGGACCTCCCAAAGCTGGGGTCCCTGTTGTCAGGGCAAGGAAAGGGATGCCCTTGATTCTATTGCCAACTCTCCTCCTGAATGAGGGTACCTACTTCTCCCTTCTCCACTGCCAGCATTCCAGGCCAAGTCACCAACAGCTGGTCCATGCTCTCACTGACCCCTCCCTGCTCTCTATCATCTCAACACCTTGCTTAAAACCTCCCCCTCACACTTAGAACAAAATCCCAACTCCCTGACCTTCTAGGCTCCCTCTGGGGTGACCGGGTACAGTGGGGAGGGGCACACACTTTCGGTGACTATCCTTGGAGTTAACGGCATGGGGTTTGGCACCAGATAGCCAGACTCTGTTCATTCCTGAGACAGAGCAACTTTAAATAAGTACAGATGGCTGTCTTGTTCTCCACTGAGCAGTCTCTCCTAGGGGTGAAAGCTCCCAGGTCCTCAACCCTTCCTCACAGCACATGGTTTCTAGCTGCTATCATTCTGGTGCTGCTTTTCGGAGCATGCTGATCTGGGAATGTCTCTTTTGAAAGGGGCTCCTCAAAGTAAACATTGTGTTCCAGAGGTGGTCTTGGCATACTGAACAGAGTCAGATATTACTTCCCTTCTTATTAACACAGTCAAAGATCACATTACCTTCCCTGGAAGACACATTTAACTGCTTCTAGTCAACTAAAATCCCCATGCTTCATGCACACTTCCTTCCAGCCACGACTTCCCATCAACATTTATCTGTTTTGTCTCATCTATTTATGAGCAGGATTTTATATGTATTCCTATCTACTTCATTTGATTGACATCTTGATACTCTTCTGGCCTCTCTAGATCATTGTGGATTATGATTATATCAGCCACTGGCTGGCATATACAGTTTCAAGTCACACAAGCATTGCTTCAGCAGGTCATCCATGCTAGTCACTGACAAAGCTTTGAACACAGTCCTGCTATCTGCTATCTGGATCTACTTTCAGCCTCACAGGGACTTATTAACTACCACTTGTTATCCTTGATCATTTGACCAGTGTGGGGGACATATCCCAAGGTGGCCCCTAGTGACTCATGCCCTTGTGTAATCCCTTCCCCTTGAATGTTTGCTTACAGCTCATCTTCTCATGCCCTGAAATTCTCTTTATGTTAAACTACCTAAGGGTGAGGACCATTTGCTTTCCTCTGTATTACCCAGACTGCTGAGCACAGCATCTTCCACATAGTACTTTCAACGTAAAAACTGTGAAAATAGTTTGTGAGTGGAAAATACTGTTAATATATGATGCTGCAAATCTTCAACTGTAGACTTAATCTGAGTCAAGGACTTTTAATTTACATGGATGATCTGGATGACAGTAAAATTCAGATTATATGTATGTATTCATTCATTTATTTATTTAGGAGATGGGATACTGCTATGTTGCCCAGGCTGGTCTCAAACTCCTGGTATCAAGCGATCCTCACACCTCAGCCTCCCAAAGTGTTAAGATTACAGGCATGAGCCACCACACCTACCAGAACTCCTCTGTGGCCTTACGGTTACTGTGATGGCCAACCATTCATCTACTTATGACAGGTAACTCCCTTAATGGTAGCTTTGTGACCCAAAAAACTTGATCTTGCTTTCAGAGGAGCCCAATTTATGTTGCATTGGAATGGCTCAAGGACGAAGAAAATTCAAATTAACCAACCTTTCACTCAACAAATAATTAATGGAGCCCCTTTAAGTACTATTCACAGATTCTTAGTTACACTTCTTTTCAAGATGTGGAACTTAATTCCCCTTGCATTGAGTGTGGACTGGACTTAGTGACTTACTTCTAAGAAACAGAATACAGTGAATGTGATGGTGTGTGGCTTCTGAGGCTAGTATGTCATGGCAGCTTCCTTCTTGTTCTCTCTCTTGAATTCCTTGTTCTGGCGGCAGCCAGCTGCCATGTTGTGAGGACACACAAGCAATTTCACACAGCAAGGAACTGAGGCCTCCTGCCAAGAGCTATGTGAACAGGCCACTTTAGTAGCAGACCCTCTAGCCACAGTTAAGCCTTCAGATGACTGCAGCCCTGGCTGAGATCTTGACACAACCTCATGAACAACAGTGAGTCAGGACCACCTAGCTAAGCTGCTCTTGAATTCCTGGTCCACAGAAACCACAGAAACATATGAGATGATTAATATCTATTGTTTCAAATTGCCAAATTTTACAGTAACTTGTTATGCAGCAATAGACAACTAATACAAATACAAATTCAGAATTTCGACTTACCTTGCAGTATTGTAAAATTCTTGATGAGCTGACCATGCTTAGAGTCTACTAGCTTCATTTCTTCCATAATCACTGATAAGTTGGCTACTTCAGTGTCTAACCTCGACCTCATCAAATCTTGTTGCATCCTGAGAGAAACAGAATCCAAACGGATGTTGGCCAGGGTATTATTCAAGGAGGTCAGATCATCCGTGTGTTTGGTTAGGGTATCTGTGCAAGTGGTCCTGACTTCATTTAGATTGCTGGTCAGCGTCCGCAGGTGGTGGGCTGTGTAACTGATGTTGCTAATGATGTTCACAATATCTGTCTCAAAGAGCTGGAAGCGTTCCTCCAGTTGGTTGAACTTGATGGCTGTTCTGTTCTCTGCATCCTTGTGTAAGTCCTGCAGGTCTTTCAGGTTCTGCTCATTGGCTTGAGAGATAGTGGTGATGTTCTCCATCTGACCTGTGAATGAGTTGAGCTGGCTGTTCATATCCTCCAGGGTGTCATTGTTGGCTTTGGCCAAAGCAGAGTTGTTGGCAGCCAGCGTCTGCAAGCTCTGCACTTTCTCCTTCAGCCAATCCGTGTCCTTCTTGGCTTGAAGAAAAACCTGCTGCAGATTTTGAAAGTCGTTCTTGATTCGCTGGATAGCCTGGCTTGTGTCATCCACAGACCGCTGCAGATTCGTGATGAGGTTCCTCTGCTGTACCTGGGTCAGGTTCAGGTTGTTGAGGTTCATGATGACCACGTTATGAGAATACATTTGGCTCTGCAGGTTGCCCTGGAGCACGCTGGTATCTTGCTGCAGATTCGTGACATAGCCATTATACGCCTGGAGGGTTTTGTTCACAGTGGTGATGAGGAAAGAATTATTCTCCAAAGTTTCTTTCAGTTGACTCTGCCTGTCCAGCAGTGCATCCCCGCTCGCCTGTAACTTCTCCAGCGTATCCTTGTTCTTGCTGGTTTTTTCTGTAATCTCACGAAGTTGCTGACGGAGATCTAGAATGTCTGATCTGAAGGTGGAGAGTTCTGAGTTGGTGCTGATAGCTTTCTTCCCAGTTTGGTCACCTGGAATAAGAAATATCTGTGACTTACATTGGTGGTATGGAGAAGTGTTCAGTCAAGGCCAAAGATCCCAAACACACTTAACTGGTATGCACTGTATTTTAGATGCAAAATTGGCAGTATAAGCAGACAGCTCTGCATTAGTAAAATGTACATATCTATTAAAACCGGGTCCTGGGGAATCAGAAAGGACGCCCAGAACTAGGAATGACAAACTTGGCTGAACATTTTTCTCAAAGAGGGAGGGGGAATTTACTAGATTTTAGGGCAGTGGGCAGGATGTCAAGAAGAAAATAACCTTTTAAATTTCCCAATTTTTTTAATGAAAGCAAAAATCAAGGAATAGAATATGCTAGGATCTTTTACTTTATAACTTAATTTCTACAATTCTTCTATGTAGTTCAAAGTATTTCAAAAATGCTCAGTAAATTCCTATTTATCTGACAGTTTTTAATAAAGGGTATTTGTGGTTTTTTTAGTCAGGATTGATCTTCAGATATTATTTGGCGCATAATAGTATTTTCGGCAGGACATAATTCCAAAATGGACCCTTAACTTTAAAATTTAAGCATTTGAATTAAATCATGAGGGAAGACTCAACATGCAACACAAAAATGGAATGTCCTTCTGGGTGCATGGGGAGTTTATAGCAACATCATTCTAAGAGGCTGTGGTCATTTGTGTAGAGTCAGGGGATTTCACTGAATGGTTCAGTCTTGTCACAGATTACCTAATTTTTTCAGGTCACTTTCCACTGCTGTGAGCTTGTCATCATAGGTTTGGCGAGATGTCTCCATGCCGCCTGTGACATTGTCCATTTTCTCTACAACTAAGATTTGGAAAATGATGCATTAGTACACACACCTGCTCATATTTTATTTTTCAGTTTCAAAACAAGAGATCATTTCATTATGGAACAAAGGAAACAGATTGAACAAAAAAAGTGTAACTGAAATCAAATATAGGAAAGAAAAGCCATCTTTTTGGAAAAATAACTTACTTGTCACAAAACCCAGGGGTACAATTTACTCAGTTGAGAATTGTATGTTCTTAATGATTCTTATGATTCTATAATGCCTTGGATGTTTCAGAAATCATTTGGAACTAATTTTAAAATTTTCATGCATTTTAGAAGTCCCTAATCTGTTATTTCCTATATTAATTTCCACAGACGAAGGCACAGCACACTGTGATAATTTACAAAATGTTGTCACTCATCAGCTTCCCTAACATTCTTGGCAGGTGGGACTCATTTACCTAGAAGAGGATTCCATTGGCAAGGAAAACCCAGCTCAGGTCTATACATAAAATCGTCATAGAAAGGACACAAAGTCAAGAGTGTCTGCCACTTTCTGTTATGAGTTCCACCACAACGCCCTGGAAATCTGCTTTTTGTTAGTGACAACTGATTCTGTAGTTTATCAATCCTCAAGTAGATACCTGAGTGGTGTTTCCAAACAATGATTTGCCAAGAAGTATTTTTTTGATAGCATTTTCTTGATTGTATATGATAGGGAAAGTAAAACCATTGATAGGGTTTGGCTGTGTCCTCACCCAAATCTCATCTTAAATTATACCCCCCTAATTCCCATGTGTTGTGGGAGGGACTTGGTGGGAGATAATTTGAATAATGGGGGTGGTTTCCCCTATACTGTTCTCGTGGTAATGAATAAGTCTCACAAGATCTGATGGTTTTATCAGGGGTTTCCACTTTCGCATCTTATTTTCTCTTGCTGCCTGAAATGTTAATCCCCAAGACAACTGGGAAAATGTCTTCAGGGCAAGTCAGAGCCTTCACGGCAGCCCCTCCCATCCCTGGCCTGGAGGCCAAGGAGAAAATGGTTTTGTGGGCCGGGCCCAGGGTCCCCATGCTGTGTGCAGCCTAGGGACTCGGTGCCCTGTGTCCCAGATGCTCCAGCCGTGGCTGAAAGGGGCCAATGTAGAGCTGGGGCTGTGGCTTCAGAGGGTGCAAGCCTCAAGCCTTGGTAGCTTTCACTTGGTGTTGAGCCTGCAAGTGCACATAAGTCAATAATTGAGGTTTGGGAACCTCCGCCTAGATTTCTGAGGATGTATGGAAACTCCTGGATACCTAGGCAGAAGTTTGCTGCAGGGGCGGGGTGTGCATGGAGAACCTCTGCTAGGGCAGTGTGGAAGGGAAATGTGGGGTTGGAGCCCCCACACAGTCCCTACTGGGGCACTGCCTAGTAGAGCTGTGAGAAGAGGGCCACCGTTCTCCAGACCCCAGAATGGTAGATCTACTGACAGTTTGCACTGTTCACCTGGAAAACCAACAGACGCTCAGCACCAGCCATGAAAGCAGCAGGGAGAGAGGTTGTACCCTCCAAAGCCACAGGGGCGGAGATGCCCAAGACCATGGGAATCCACCTCTAGCATCAGCATGACCGGGATGTGAGACCTGGAGTCAAAGAAGATAATTTTGGAGCTTTAAAATTTGACTGCCCTGCTGATTTTGAACTTGCATGGGGCCTGTACCCCTTTGTTTTGGCCAATTTCCCCCATTCGGAAAGTCTGTATTTACCCAATACCTGTATCCTCATTGTATCTAGGAAGTAACTAGCTTGCTTTCAATTTTACAGGCTCATAGGCGGAAGGGACTTGCCTTGTCTCAGATGGGATTTTGGACTGTGGACTTCAGGATTAATGCTGAAATGAGTTAAAACTTTGTGGGACTGTTGGGAAGGCACGTTTTGTTTTGAAATGTGAGGACATGAGATTTGGCAGGGGCCAGGGGTGGAATGATACAGTTTGGTTGTGTCTTCACCCAAATCTCATCTTGAATTATATCTCCCAGAATTCCCACGTGTTGTGGGAGGGACCCAGTGGGAGACGATTTGAATCGTGGGGGCAGTTTCCTCCATACTGTTCTCGTGGTAGTGAATAGGTCTCACAAGATCTGATGGTTTTATCCGGGGTTTCCACTTTTTCATCTTTCTCATTGTCTCTTGCCGCTGCCATGTAAGAAGTGCCTTTTGCCTGCCACCGTGATTCTGAGGCCTCCCTAGCCATGTGGAACTGTAATTCCAATTAAACTTCTTGTTCTTCCTAGTCTTGGGTATGTCTTTATCAGCAGCATGAAAACGGACTAATACAGCCACACTAAATAAAAGCTTCAGTTCTTATTCATTTTCAGAAGGCAGTAATTCTCTACAGTTATGAATTCAAGTACACGTTTCTAAAATGTTAAGAGGACATTTCTCCAAAAGTGACTTATGTGAGATCCAGCTTCTAGCAGCTTGGGATCAAGTCTGATTGTCCTTCTTGGTATCAATAGCTTAAAAAAAAAGACTTCAGGCCGGGTGCAGTGGCTCACACCTATAATACCAGCCCTTTGGGAGGCCAACGTGGGTGGATCATTTGAGGTCAGGAGTTCAAGACCA